ACCTTCTTGTAGTTACAGCCATTAATAACGAGGCCAGAAATGTGGGAAAAGGAATCTTATGAACGGACTTGAATCTGATTCTGCCTCTGATGTATGAGATTGGCAGGGGTGCCAGAAGCAGCAGCTTGAATCTATTGTCATTTTACCTACCTTAAATACCTTCTTTTTACATAAAGCCATCTTCCTATGCATTTTGCACCTTCCTTTAGGCTGCCTGTCTGTATTGCAAAGCTGTTTTGTTGGTCTGTGGGGTAGCGGGGAACAATTGACTTGCACTTTGTCATGACAGATTTACAGCACAGGAAGACCACTTGAAAGAATGTTTCAGACTACTTTCAAATAGAATTTTTAGTGTGTTTGATCTGGAGGAGGCAGCATGTACCTTCCTGGGGTCCCAGAGAATGGAACGGAAAGCAGGACAGACTCGTCTGTCTGAACTTTGAAGTTAAACAAGAACAAACTTTTGTCATTGTTGAAGACCTGCTCCAAACACATTTTGATGTCTCGTGTCTGATACTTAAACATGCTATAATAGGTAGGGAAGAATATATAGGATTCACAAGGCTTGGAACAAGATACAAATTTTTAAATAAAAATTAAGATAGATAGTCATTTGTACTCCTTTTTGTTCAACTTTGTTCAAACTGCAAAGCTGCCTTCTACTGCTGACATTCCATGTCTGACAGCCTGTCCTGCAGTGGGGAGTTGTGATATGGATATTTTGGGATGCTAGACCAGACAGAGGGAAATGAACAAACTCTGTGTTTCTTAACTAAGAAATAAAAGCTCCGTTTCACTTGGATATACCATTGGTGGCACTGTTAATTACAGTTGCCTGGACTCACCTTGTACTTTGACTGTTGTACTGTTATTCATAATTAGATGGGGCACTTTTAAAGCAAAGGCAGTGTCTGGCAGATTAATATTACATGCCCACCACTTTCAATTTAGAAAATGAAAGAAAATGGGTTGTTGTGTACACTGTAATGTAGAAGACTAAAATCTATGAAATTTGTGATATCACATATGCAGAAACCCTGGCTATACAAAAAGAAGTCAGTATTTCACTCTGCAGTCTAAATTTGCTTTTCCTATTAATTTGTTTGCTTTCAAATTATTTTGCAACAGAGCAAATTTCATTTATTAAATAGAAATAAACTAGAAACTGAAAGAAAGTTAAAAGAAAATGTCACTCACATTTATATTTGGACTCCCCAAGCATTTCTCTTATGGCTTCATTCTGTCTCATATTTCATACCACATTTCTGTGAAAAGTAAATGAATCACCCACATATATAAAAATATTTCATAACACAGACAGATGGGTATGGATTTATACATGCAGAAATTTACACACATATACACAACACACATAGGTATATAAAATATGGTCTCAGAATAAGAATATATGTGTGTACAGCTATACTGAATTCTTGGTGGTATGTTGTAGAACCCCTGGGTAAGTTTTTATGGATTTGATTTATTGGCTGACTGAGTTGATTCATTATTTGTATATGATTTTTTGCTGCTGGGTGGTCATAATTTACAATTCTGGACCTAGTTAACTCTGTGGGTGCCTAGAGTTTTCTGTATGAACATCTTCAACTATTGTTTAAAGAAATAAATGAAGTGGACTTGCTTGAATGAGCAATTTACTGATGAGGAGCAAAATACGGTCAGGCAGGCAGGTCATAGAAAATAGCTTTCAAAAAGTCTTTGTAACTCACTATACCATCATATATTTTCTTAGTATATATACAATAATTCATACATCTTACAGACAGCTGAAGATCATCTGTGAAATGCTGATCACAATCTTTTTCTTTTATTAGAATTCAGTGCTATTCTTTTATTATCCTACTTGTAAATCTCTGGTAGATTTGCTGGTAGGCACAGAACAAGATATTGAAGAAGCATGAAAAATCAAAAAGTACCTTGGCTTCATTTTGGTATAAATGAAACATGACACTTACTTCCAGAATCAGACTTTTAGCTTTGGCAGTTAGCAGAGCTGTTCTTTTCCCATGACACAACCATGTCTACTAGAGCAGTGGAATACAACTGTTTTCTGTATTTGTTTACTAGGAAAAAGGGACTTCTCTTGGTGTCAGCATGGTCACAACTCTTCAGGCAGTTTGGGATGTAATGGTACACTCACTGCCTGTCACTATTGCAAATTATATCATTTGCTGCTGTAAAGTCCAGCTGGTGTACTTTGGGACAAGGGCAAAAATATGAGAAGAGCCAGAGCACTCAAATTACAATGCCTTCATTAGCTTTTAAGTATATACAGATTAAGAATAGTTGTAATTTGCAAGATTTCATGTACTGTCTCCAAAGGTGATTTGACTGTTTACAGCTCTAAATACTGGATATGAACTTAGTAAGACAAATTCAGTAGAGATTCTTTATGTGTTCCTACCAAATTTCACATGCATGTCTTCCATTGTGTACTTTTTTACTTAAAGCCATTGGTCTGTGGTCCGTAGGTATTTCTGGGATTGCCTGTTGAGAAGAAATACTGCACACTGCCAACATAAATTGTTCATAGCTGGAGTTTTCATTTGCAATGTCATATTAAAATGAAGGGATTGTCCAGTCTTGTTGAGATGGTGGGTACCTAATTTTTTAAAATGCAATGAAGAATTTTGGTAGTTGCCCACAAGGGGAAGTTCACTTCCTTCCAGCCATCTGTGACTGCTCCAGTTACAGACACGTGCAATTCCACATTCAGTGGTGGGACATTTTATTGTGGCTGTGTAATTTATCACAATTCCATGTGGAATAACCGTCATTGCAGCTAAAGTTCTAAACCCTTCTCATGTTTTAAGGAAATCAACCAACCTAACAAAAGAAACCCCTTTGCACATGAATTCAGAATTCAACGTTGTGAGCGCAGCCTCCTTCAGCATGCGTGTCACATCTTAGGAAGTCTGCCTCAACATCTATGAGGGAATGTTTCCTCTGTGTCTCCTTTATCTAAATCTCAAATAACTTGCAAGAAAAGGAGCTTTCAATGACTTTTTAGTTTTTCATGTTTCTTCTTTAATGCTTCTCTCCATCTACACTTTGAAGAGAGTCTTATAGCGATTCCTACTAGAAATTCCTAGGATTGTTCTTGCTTAAAATTACAATTTGTGCAAGATATGAAGTTGTGTCATATTGTGGTGGATTTGAATGGGATTTTCTTGAGTGATAAAATAACAGAGGAGCACAAATGCTACTGAATGTCACCAGGATTTAGACTTTGAAGACATACACAAAAATCACTGATTTCAGTTTACATGGGTTTGAAATCATCAGATGAGTTGGCAAATTCTTGTGATGTATAAATACATTTCTTTGTTCTACCCAGTGTGGTCAGTATTTCTATACATAAAAGGTGTATATTTCTGCATATGTATCTGGATATACAAATACCCCAAAATGCAAGTGAAAGTAATTAAAATAATGGGGTTTTTTTTTTTAGTCCTTTGCATACACGATTTGGAAAATCATTGCTTTCTGTGATTTAGGGACATGTAAAACAGAAATAAATACAGACAGACTATAACTATGTTATAGTTTACATCTTCTTCCCCTGCTCACCAGTTCAGGCAGTCAGCAATCTGAAACTGCTTATCGATTCTTGAAAAATGTGTGTTTGCAGGTTACCTTTATTTTTCCATTCCTCATGCCTCACATCTCCACTGAAATTTCAGCATTACCAGCTTTCTGAATGATAAAGGACATTTCTCTTGTGCTCTCAAGCAATGAGTGCCAAAGGCAACAGAATGAAATTTGTATGCAACACTGTCTACGCTCCACGTGCGTGTCCATTTATCTCAATAACTGACTGTCATCTTTGTGCCTGTACATCCTACAGTGACAATCAGAGCCCAACACTGCTCGAGATGTCAAATTTCCAGGGATAGATTTCTAGCTGCAGGCAACTGGAGCTAAATACCTCATATTGAGAACACTCTCCTCCTTGTCACTGACCACATTAGAGCCTTTCATGTAGCTTCATATGTGGCTTTTATTTATTGTCTGCTTCCACCCATGGCTTGAACTGCAGTGGTGTTCCCAAGTGATAGGGCTTGTAAGCATATGTGTGTGCACTTCAGAATGAATTTTCTGTAATTAAGGAACTTTCATTGCATATCAAAGCAAGCATGGTGCATGTGCAGCTGCCTACACAAATTTTGCTGCATTTTGGTGAACTTTGCAACTTGTTCAACCATTTGGTCAATACAACGGGGGAATAAATCCTTTAAAAAATATCAGTTATTTTCATATGCATTTAATGTATATTTTTATATAATATAATAAGATTTGGAATCACAAAGGTAAGTGTGTTTTCTGATTTTGGGGGTTATTGGAATTCTGTTATCTCCCAAAAGCTGAATTCAAAGAATGTAATTGCTTCCGCTCATCTGCTTATCAGCGTTCAAACTTACTTCATTTAAGGTGAAGAACTAAAGAATAAAGAATTTCCTTCACTTCCTTAAGAAATGAAAACCAAAACAACACAAAATTCATGAATAATAATGAGCACAACCAGCAGCAGGATAGTGTGCACATATTTCTTGTCAAGAAAAAGTAATTGCAGCACTTGATGTGAAAATGAGATTTATGTCTTGTGCTAATTTTTACTCTCCACCTGATTGTATCAGTACATGGGAAGGAATTGTAGTCCTTCTGGCTAACAAGCATTAAACAGGCTGGTGAGCAGCCAGCAATACATTACACAGAATGAAGAAAAAAACTAACAAGTCTCCAAATCTCAGAGATTTTAAAATACTGATATAAAACTAAAACACAAGCTTTTTGCATAAGAGAAGGAAATTAGACTAATGGTAATTTTTTCCACTGTTTTTGTGAAATGGAAAACAAGATGAGAATGAAAAACAAGCCAGAGATGGCTTGTTGTATTATCTGTAACAAAATTTTTTCTAAGCTATTATTATTAAATCGATAATTCATATTGAAGTATTTCTGTTATCCTTGATTTGTCCTAGATCAGAGGAGGAAAGCTCATGATCACATACACAAGAAAGAACGACGCTGGCAAATACGTTTGTGTTGGAACAAATATGGTTGGAGAACGTGAAAGTGAAGTTGCAGAGCTCACTGTTTTAGGTAAGAATTCCTTTTAGGCTCTATTGATAAAAATGTCCATCTTTTGTTTTTCCTGGTAAGCCTTTTTCTAAACATTATTCTGATCCATTTCCCTTTCAGTGCTGAAATTGTTTTTCTCATGGTTGTGTAAATAGAAGGAAGGCAATGGCTCTGCAGCCCACCTGGGACAATTTTTTCTTATTATAAGATGCTTTTGTATTTAATTCTCAAACTGAAAATAATTCCAGTGTCCATGACTGGATCAGTATTGTGAAATAAGAGCAAACCAAAAATTAACAAGTTTAAGAAGCAGAGGCTTAATTTTTCCTTCTTACTGGAGAGAATCAGAATTACTCTGAATTTGTATTTGGAATAATTATCCATTTATAGGAGCATGTGCTGAGTGTTGTAAAACTACAACAGATCTGCTTGTTCAAGTGATCCTATTGATCAAAAAAATATGTTTTCATTTAAGATAGCTGAGCTTAGTTGAAAATTGCATGTTTTGTTGCAACATCAGAAGGGAAGCTTGAAGTCCACCTGCAGTCTCAATATTCCTTTAGCATAGGAGAATTTAGGTGCTTTTTCTTCAAAATATGTCCCATTTTACTTTAAATTAAAGGAGGCTTGAGATAGCTTGATTGTTTCTGGAAAAAAAAAAAAAAAAGCTGTTGCATTTTGGAAATGGATGAGACCATCCAAGCCCTGGTTCACAGCACACTGGTTTCCATCACAATGCTGCTGCAGTACTAGTAGCTTGTTGGTGGTTTTATTTTTGTTAAAATCATGTTTAAGAGCTGTCTTGTCTTTCTTTGGCACTTTTATCTGTCTTCCCTACATTGTTGAGCTAGGACTGAGGCAAGAAGACCTGTTCAGAGTTTAGGTGTTTCCTAAATAAAACAAGGTTTTATGCCATCTTAAAATTGTTCAAACTGAATATCCAGGAAGAAAGTGGTGTGTAACCCTTTAGAAGCTGAGGAACTCGTACTAGTTTATTTTGGTTTTGTATAAACACTTTTGAAGCAGTAGGGGAGGAAGTTTATTGTCAAACAGAGTTTCAGAACTTTCAAGCAAAACCTAAACTTGAAAGTAAATTGTAATAACATGAGTAAAGTCCTGGCACCAGGTTCCTATTTAACTGTACCATGTAATAGCTCATCACTAGTCTGCTGCCAACCAGGGAGTCATGGGCTGGGCTGTTTGATAACTTAGACTGAAAAATTACTTCTCTTGCTAAAAACCTGAGAGAGAGGCAGAGCTCTGTCTGGCTTTTTCTTCATCTCTTGTTCCTTTCAGACATATTTCAGATTTTCAGCCTGGGGAAACTAGCAAGGTTTTGTTTTCAAATGAGTCAGTAAAGGTTTGAATTTCTTACCAGCCCATGTCTAGAAATCTTTAAAACACCCTATTCTTTCAACTCAGACTTGGATATGCGTGAAAAAGCACAAGTAATATGCTGACTTCATATATTAAATTTTTCTACATTAATCTTCTATTTATGAGGTTTGGTTATTTAGAAGTTGAACTTTTGCTTCTAGGTCTCTGCTTTAGATCAGAGGGAGGATTGCATGCCAGAAACTGTAATATTAGAAAGTTTCAAAGTGATCCTTGCTAAGCTTTCCTTGTATGTACCAAATAATCACGTGACAGAGACAGATTCTTAAATCAGTGTTGATTTTCCTTATCCGTTTCTGCATTTCAGTAAGAGTGTTATAAGTGGGCAGACAAAAACTCCTGGAAGTCCATTACTCTTCCTTCAGGAAACTGATCTGGAGAACAATGTGCCTCTTGTGGGCAGCACTCTTGGTCTTACCAGATCAGGCTTTTTTCTCTTGCGTATTTAAGTTAAATATTCTTCCCCAAACTATTCCTACTCTGAGTTTTAATCTGGATGTTCCTTTCTTACATTCCCGTTCGGTTTTTTCAGCACCTACAAGAAAGGGGCCAGGGTAGGGGGTTGTCTATATTTGTGTCTTTTTAATTCACAGCTAGATTTATGTCTGTAGATTTCTGTTTTATTTCTCACTTCTTGTATATGAACTCAGGCTAGAACTGACAGCTTCAAGATCAACTTGCTATTTCATTTAACATTATTTCCGACCATTGCCAGCAAAGTTAATTTTTCTACAACACAAGTGTCCAGCTGGTCTGGACATCCTCTAGAACAAAGGAAGATTTTTTTTTTTTTAATAAGGTTTTGTTCAGGTCACATTTCCTTTTTGAACCATGAAGTTTTTGTAATATTGAATCTCTGTGTCTGCAAATCCAGAGTAATATTTAGAACTGCTTTTCTCAAACACAAATGTGAGACATGAAGAGTGTGGGATTGTCTCTTTATCCTTCTGTCTGGTTTTTTTTGTGCTCCTGTGAGAAATTTGTGGTGTATTTTTGGGCATTCACACTTCCTGATGGTGCCAATGGCCTCAGACTGTTGCAGTTCCAGGGGGATGATATTTATATCTTTAGTACATACAAGTCAAAACATGCAACTGCCTTCTCAACTCCCTCAGAGCTTTCACAGGTTTATAGACAAAAAGTTCATCTGCCTTAGGCAAAGGAGCCTGCCAAACACTCTCCTGTTAAACCTTCCCAGTTCTTTTATGGACATGCTGTTGTCATCTGGTGCTGCTCTTCTACATGGGTCATTCCTGGAATATTCCAGAAATTATTAAAACCACTTTTATCCTTAGGAAGATGCAAACCTTACTGCAGTGCAGCCTGATGTGGAATTATGAAAGCATGAATGGCCCAGCAACCTACAGCTTTGAATCCTATAACAGAAAAGTGTATCAACACATTTACTGAAATGCACAGGGTTTACCAAAACAACACAGCCTGTACTGAGGTCCCCTTTTTGTTCCAGACAGTCTGAGCATAGGTGTGCAGCAATTAATCTAAACAAAAACTACAGAGAGGACATTCTGGGGTTTTTTGTTTGTTTTACTCCATGTGTGTTGGTGGAAGAAAGAATTGCCTTTCAAATGCAGTGCTGAAAATTACTGCATGAAGTGCTTGCTGCTGCTGACTCCTGTGAGCAAACTCACAGAGGTTCCTGTGCAATCTGGACACAGATCTGCTGGATTAACCCTTGATTTCCTTTCCCTTCCCTTCAGAGAGACCATCTTTTGTGAAGAGACCGAGCAATTTGGCAGTGACTGTGGAGGACAGTGCAGAGTTTAAGTGTGAGGCAAGAGGAGACCCAGTCCCTACAGTGAGATGGAGGAAAGATGACGGAGAGCTGCCCAAAGCAAGGTGCAGTGCTTGCAGTTACCCTTTTTATATCGTCTAGTTTGGTGTGTGATGACAGTGATTGACAGCTAAAATTTCTTTGTCTTGAATACAAAAGGCCTGGCTTGATCCAATAAAACATTTCTAATTAGCACTGAGCTCCAGTTGAACTTACTAGTTATGTTGAAACTTAAGAACGGCCTGTTTTCAAGTTTTTGTTGTGACAACACCTGACAAATATAACCTAAAATATATAATATAAATATAAGCTAAATTTAACATAAATATAATATAAAAACAATAAGATATAATATAAAATATAATATAAAACAACCAAGTGCAGCCAGTAGTATCAAATACAGATTAATTCTTCACCTGCAGAGTCTTTTGTGATTACTAAAAGTTTTGCAGAATGTATAACAAATAGTAAAAGAGGTTACAACATCAATGAGTATATATTCGAATTGCAGTTGATGTAAGATGTAGTCTGGCAATGTAGAAAGCTGCCTTGGTTATACATGTTTTTGTTGCTAGGTTTCCAGTGAACTTCTTTTTTGGTATTGCTGTAATTCAGGCCAAAAAGTAAAACACACTATTAAAAATAAACACATCCTGTGATGGATCGATATAGAGATAGATTAAATACTCATTTATTTACTTTGAAATCCTAATTATCAGTTTAAAAAACTTCCAGAGAGTGGACTGAAAGAAGAAACAGTTTAACAGGGTTGGATTTGTAAGTTAGCCACTTTTTAAATACAGCTTCTTGGTAATGTAGTCTATAGCTTTAATAAAAACTATCATTTTTAGGAGAAAAATCTACTTACCATAAATAGAAACACATTAACTGCATTATATATAAAAGAGAGAAAAGTGATGAAAGGAAAGAAATTGGTAAAAGGCCACATGGTCCTCCAGGAAAAAAAAAAAGAAAAAAAGAATTGTGATTTATCTTGAATTTCAAGCATTTCTAATCTTTTTTTGGAACAATATTTTCTTTTCAACCATATTAACAAGTCTGTCATTCAGATGGAGAATAATAAATATTGTTATAATTACTTGTTAAAATAATTCTAACAATTAAAATGTTCTGCAGTAGGGCTTTGCAATTGTGTGCAAATAATATCAAAATAAGGTTTTCAAATACTTGGGTATATTTTGGTTTTAAAACTTTATTTTTCATTATCAATTTATAATTATCTATACTTTTTTTTCCCTTGTGTGAAATACAGAAATAAGAATATTTTTAGACCAAATCCCCCATGTTTTTACCCTTGACAGAAATTGTACAAAGTTCTGTTATTCATTGTTAACTACTATGTATGTTTAAAGATACGAAATCCGTGATGATCATACCTTGAAAATCAGGAAAGTTATGGCAGGAGACATGGGATCATACACTTGTGTTGCAGAAAATATGGTTGGAAAAGCTGAGGCATCAGCAACCTTAACAGTTCAAGGTAAGAATGTTTCTTTGCAAAGAATGAGATTGAATAATGTTGTACTAGAATAAGTTGATTTTTCTTTGTACAACAACTCTAGAGATAAAAATATAGAGAAAATACAAATTTGTCTTGAGTTGTATTCTGAGGAAATGGAAACACTTCACATGTAAGATTTTTTAAGCAGTCTTTACAATGCTGGGATGGAGAACTGAATATGTTTTGAATTTCAGTTCTTCAAGTTCAAAATCAAGTCACTTGCAATTGCTATATCTGAAACACAGAAAGAAGAAAGTCAGTGTTACTAAGCTGCATTGTTTTAATTCAAAAAATAAGAGTTGTGAGTTCAAGTATCTGCCAAGTTTTTCCAATTAAGTATAGTAAAGAAGCAGTGAATGATAAATCTGTTTGTGTATCTTTTAATACACTAACCCAGACCACTGGAATTCCTGTTGCTTTTTCATTATTGAAGCGTATCGTAGCACTACTGTTTCTTTGTAAGATAAAAATTCAGTGGAACTCAGCGAACTAATATGTATAAAAATCCTTCACTGCCTTTATATACACAATCCAGATGTTCACTATTCAGATAATCCCTCTCTTCCTTTCCTGGCTTGCAGACAGGCCATGATGTCATCCTGATGCTTTTTTCTGGGCGCTGATGGTCCTTCTGTCCTTTTCTCTGTTCAGTGGGAATTAGTCATTATGGAGTTCTGGGGAAGTATAGGCTTAAAAGTATTTTATTTGGTAACAGGCCCCTAGTTTGACACATTTACTGTAACAGGAAAGGTCTTGCCCTGAACCTGCTCTCCTTTTTTCCAGCAGAAACATTTGGTGTCCCTCTGTTAGGAAAGTATTGAATTCTTTCATTGAAAATCTCATAAAACCAAGAATTTTGAGATGTTCTGTTTTGTTCGTCACCATGATGTTTATACATCAAAACTCATACCTTATGTTTGTAAAATAACCAGCTCTCATGCTCAGTGTTGGAGAATAAAGGATAAACTTGTGAGCAGTAAGCACACAAGTTCTTTTCCTTTATCCAAAGGAAAAAGACTGAATTATTTCTTAAATAATAATTTGTTCTGAAGATCACCTCTTAAATCAACTGTTACTACTGTAAAATGTTACTATTAAGAAAATTTGCTTTGATGACTGGTTGAGCAGTTACATTTCTGGAAAGAAACTCTTGGTAGCCGTAATCTTTCATATTCCTATTCAAAATAATAAACAAAAACATACTTGAAATCCCATTTAGCTTAATGATGCTAGTAGATATAAAATGGCTTAAGTATGTCGATGTTAGAAATTGAGTGAGATCCTTTTGATAATAAACTGGTATTTTTAAAGAACAAGATCACAGCCTAAGTCCTGATTCATCAAGATGCCAATTTTTAAGTGTTTGTATTACACAGTAGATATTTACAGTGTGGCAGCTTTGCTCTGAGGATATTGTTATGGGATAATTTGTTTCCCAGTGTGAATGGATTACCTCCTGAGCCATTTGTCTGCACTAATGTCTTCATAGGAGGGATTGATGTGAGAAACTGTAATGTGCAGGGACAATTTGTAGTTGGTAACGAAATAAATTATGATCAAAATCCATTTATTAGTGTATCCAAGAGACCAAGTTTATGGGAGGGAAAAAATGACTCCTCTAGCAAATGAATTTTCCATTCAGATTTTTTCACATTTTTCCTCCTTTTTCTGCCTTCTCCTCTTTTTCCCTCCTCTCCTCTTCCCTTGTTAAAACACATTTGTTTTTTTTCCTGAAGGGTCAGCTTTTTGACTGTGCTATATCTAGAAAAGTGGACTGATCTTGTTTCAGTACTAAAATAAGATTTCTCTGACTGTGGACACACAGCTCTATGAATTTTTTTGGTTGATTCATTGCTTTTTTTTATTTTTATGGTGTTTTTTTCTGGGTGATTCAAGGAATGCAACTAGCAACTCTTTTCTGCACTTTTGGTTATCATCACATGATCTGTTGACTGTAGAGTTTAGTAAATGTGTGTTCTGCAGTGCCAAATTGAGTTATTTTTGTTGCCTGTTTGTAAACAGAGGACTGCACTGCCAATCACAGCTTCAGACATCACAGCTGCCACTGTGCAGGCACGTTAAATTCAGCAAAGGGCAAGGAGGGGGCTTGGCGTGGGTTTGAGTGGGTTCGGGTTATTTGTGACCTTTGGTTTGGGTTTTTTCCTCTTCGGTATCTCAGCAACAGGCTGTGGTATTCCTGTGCCAGAGGAGGAACATGAGAGCTGTCAGTGTGACCCAAGATGTGTGTCCATGTCAAGAAAGGGACAGTGTCTGTCTGTCAAGTGTGACCGTGTTCACAGGGGTCTTAGGATGAGGGAAGAGACAAGGATCTGACTCCATGTTTCAGAAGGCTTGATTTATTATTTTATTATATAAATTATGTTAAAACTATACTAAAAGAATAGAAGAAAGGATTTCATCAGAAGGCTAGCTAAGAATAGAAAAAGAAGGAATCATAAAAAATGCTTGTGTGTCGGACGGAGAGTCCGAGCCAGCTGACTGTGATTGGCCATTAATTAGAAACAAGCACATGAGACCAATCACAGATGCACCTGTTGCATTCCACAGCAGCAGATGATCATTGTCTACATTTTGTTCCTGAGGCCTCTCAGCTTCTCAGGAGGAAAAATCCTAAGGAAGGGATTTTTCAGAAGATATCATGGCTACAGTCAAGTGTCTGCACGGAGGGGCTGTGGCAGGGAGTGGAACGTGGCAGGGCTGCAAGCAGTGCTCTTCAGGGCCTCAGGCTTGGCAGCACTAAGGAAAGGTTTTATCTTTTTCTCTACTCATCATTTCCACTCACACCATGGCTGAGCCCAGTGCCTGTCTCCTGTGGAGGGTTATCTGGGGCACTCAAAGGTGGAGCGTGCAGCACCAGGGCAATTGAGATACGGAGGTGTGGATGGGAGGTGGTGAGCAGCTATCCTGGTCTCACAGGGAGCTGCCCTGGATCCCACAGGACCCTTTCCTCCTGCTCAGCTCTGCCTCCTGCCTGATGCATGCCCTGCAGGGCTCCCTGTTTTGGGAATGCTTGGGAATGCTGCGCAGGCACAGCCCCAGCGCTGCCTCTGAGCTGGGAGCCAGCCCAGGCCGTGTCCCTGCAATAGGAACTGTCAGCTCTGATAGTTCAGCTCTCCCTCTCTCTCTCTGTAATAAACTGTTAGCTGTAGAAAATACAAGAGAGGGGAGGGAACATAATTTCCATTTTTATGTTCTTCCTGCTCATGGCACTGGCGTCACAGATGCTGGTTGTTGGAGTCACTGTTTTCCTCTGTACAGGCTCCTAACTTTGGGGACCATAAGCATTTTCTACATACAGATGTTGTATTTTTACTGTGACTTCAGCCATATTCATAAACCAAATTTGGAGTTCTGTACTGACGTAGTGAAGTTTGAACTCTTCCTTTAGAGTTTTACTCCTGCAGCTTAGAAGCATTTCCATCCCTAAAGCCGTCAAGTTATCTTATTGTCTCCTTGGAAAATTAAATAGTAAAGGAAATGTAATCCTGATGTTGTTTCCGTACACCTAAAATTGGAGAGTTCTCTACCCTCTGTTTTCATTTTGCAGCAATGTGCACTGCATCTGCAAGGCATCCAGAGACATTGCTGAACACATGTGGAAGCATTTCATTCAGGAGATGATTAATTATTAAATAAATACCTCAGTCAATACATAATGCCAGGAAGCAGCCCAGAGTACAATACATTATATTTTGCCAACACTTTATATTTCACCAAGTAGCTGGTATACGTCAGAAAAGGAAAAAATTGCCCAAAAAATGGCACCACTGGAACCAGTGGACTTTTCTCTTGCTCTAGCACTAAGCAAGCTGGATGTATTTATTGTATTTATATTATATTGTATTTGATATATATGCAAGATGCATTTCATGTTGTCTGTAGGTTTCTATTACATGACTTGCTTAGTTTTATGCCTCAAAGCAGGACTGTAGAAAATATTATATATTTCATTACTACATATATCATTGAAAACAATGTTCCTAAGACACAGAAAATTACCAAAAATGCATACTTCAGTACTAAGAGAAAATTAGTTTTACCGTTAATGTAAATGGAAGTAGGGTATCTTCAAGAATCTGAAAATCCTACATTTAACCATGAAAATGCTCTCAAGCACATCTAAGAACCAAAAGTTTTACATATTTTCACCTACTTCCATTCGCTTTGCTCCCATTCGCGGTACTTAATTTGGCTTGTCTGACATCTAATTTTGCAATAAGTCCGTAATTTCTGGTGCAATGAGCTGTTCTCTCTGAAACACACCAGTGTAAGGCAGGGCTCCAGTGGCAGCCCTGCTCTGCAGCTGGCCAGGAACCATCTCAGCAGTGGCAGTGTGGGTGAGACTCAGCAGCTCAGGTGGCTCAGCTGGCTTCAGGACTTCAGGAGAATAACAGTACTGGCTGTGGGTGACTGGCCAGTCAGCAGCAGATTGGAATCTTGTCCTTGAACAGGAATCTTTTGAGTTCTTCTTAGCACTCCCTATTCAAGCAGTGGCTCTGGAGGAGTGTGCAATATAAAACGACACCTAAACCTGCTGCAGCAGTGACTGAACTGTAAAATGTAAATTTTGCCATTCAAAGGCACTAAGCACATTCAGCGTTATCTGTTTGGCCGAGAAAAAGAAGAATTCCTATGGAAATTGTAGCGGCCAGTTCATATTTTACAGTGGCAATCTCTGATTACCAAGCCTTTTTAGATTGTGATGTCTTTAATTTTAGGGTTAACAGAGCTTGTCTGCAAGGTAGATAGAGAGTGGAACTTCTGATAAGTGACTCCTGGCTGTGATTTTGCTGTACAGTCAACTGACAAGGAATTTTAATCTGAAAAGGTGGCACATGCTTCAGGCCTGGAATTTCCTCCTCCTTCCACCTCCTCTTTGTGCAAGGTAGCTTCAAGGCACACAGTGAAAGACATTTATTTGATAAGGTTTCTGGAAAGGGCTGCAGATACCACCCGGA